GGCTGGAAGAGCGAGACCCGTGTGGGGGGAGGAATTCTCATGCAGCTCTGGTGGTGTCTCTGAGCCACAAGGAATGATGAATGCCTTCTCCTCCCGCCTGTGCCTGTCAAACATTCTACCACGACCTCTGAGTAATGGCAGCTGTCTTTTTCTGGCCAAATAAAATACAGGATGTCCTCAACTTAGAACAAGATGTATTCCACAAGTTACAACTTCCCAAGGTTTGTAAGTCTGGACCGGTTTCCGCACAGAAACAACGTTAGGCACAGGGGTGGTTCCCAGGCCGGCAGGCTGAGGTTGGTTAACTCATGATGTCCCTGAAGTGCAGCAAGCCTTCCTATCGGGACGGGTTCAGTTTCAGCCAGCCAGGTATGACATGGTTTCAGCTCCCCTGCACCCCCTCCACCCCCACGAAAAAACCAACAAACAGGGCAGAGACTGCAAGCAGGTGGGGGGTGGGTCTCACAAGTTACCCACTGGCTACCAGAAATCAGTGTGTGTGCATTACAGCGGCCACCCCATCAGCAGTGCCCAGCATGGGTGCTTCTAGACTCTTCTGGAATCAGACCAATGAAGCTGGTCTCCGAGGGGCCTCCCGCAGTGGGAAATGCCAGGCCTCATGGGGCATGTATGAGCCAGGGTTGCCTGGGCGGACTCAGGTGCCTGGAGAGCAGGCAAGGTGACTCCCATGAGGGCGCTCAGGGCCCCCGGCACAATAACACCACTGGTCAGCATCTCCCTCCCCTGGTCCCCGAGGGGCGGGCCAGGGGCCTACCGGATTCTCGCAGTAATGACACAAGTCGTTGCTCCCAATGAAGAGAGTGATCAGCTTCCAGTCTTTCTCCAGATTGATTTCCTGAGGGGACAGAGATCCTAGGTGTAGGGCTTTGTGGGGGGCACATTCAGGAGGTGCTTCCCTGGCCAGACTGCCCCCAAGTGTCCCTCACTCTCTCTGTCTCACAGTGGAGAGACGATGCCTCACCCTCACCGTGATGCTGGAGCAGGGAGCTCCTGAGAGAGAGAGAGAGAGAGAGAGAGAGAGAGAGAGAGAACGAACATACAGGTGTACACATGTATCTTCTGCTCACACACTGCAGGAGACTATTTCCCTTTTAAATCCTCTTTAGAAAGCTGCAGTCCTGTGTGAAGTGGAGTGCATTAAGGCCTTCTGAGGAGCCAGGGCAAAAGATGTAGCTGGAAGCAAAAACCCAGAGCTGCCTCTTGGGAGGGCTCTTCAGGTGTGGGAGCAGGTGGTAGACCAGGTGTGGGAGCAGGGGGTAGACCAGGTGTGGGAGCAGATGGTAGACCAGGTGTGGGAGCAGGGGTAGACCAGGTGTGGGAGCAGGGGGTAGACCAGGTGTGGGAGCAGATGGTAGACCAGGTGTGGGAGCAGGGGTAGACCAGGTGTGGGAGCAGGGGGTAGACCAGGTGTGGGAGCAGATGGTAGACCAGGTGTGGGAGCAGGGGTAGACCAGGTGTGGGAGCAGGGGGTAGACCAGGTGTGGGAGCAGATGGTAGACCAGGTGTGGGAGCAGGGGTAGACCAGGTGTGGGAGCAGGGGGTAGACCAGGTGTGGGAGCAGATGGTAGACCAGGTGTGGGAGCAGGGGTAGACCAGGTGTGGGAGCAGGGGGTAGACCAGGTGTGGGAGCAGATGGTAGACCAGGTGTGGGAGCAGGGGTAGACCAGGTGTGGGAGCAGGGGGTAGACCAGGTGTGGGAGCAGATGGTAGACCAGGTGTGGGAGCAGGGGTAGACCAGGTGTGGGAGCAGGGGGTAGACCAGGTGTGGGAGCAGATGGTAGACCAGGTGTGGGAGCAGGGGTAGACCAGGTGTGGGAGCAGGGGGTAGACCAGGTGTGGGAGCAGATGGTAGACCAGGTGTGGGAGCAGGGGTAGACCAGGTGTGGGAGCAGGGGGTAGACCAAGGTGGGGCCTGGAGAGGAGGCCATGTGGGGACTCAGAGGTAGGGTGGGGGCTGAGAGGCCCTCCAAGGAGCCGCTCTCCACTTAGCCACCATAATAGGAGTCCCGCCAGGAGCTGGATTCCAAGGCATAAACACAGAGCATTAAAAAAGAAATTACTAGTGAGAAGGTTGCGAGGGGCTGGGATTGGGAACCAGGAAGGACTGGAATGAGAAGCCTATTTTTAGAACCAGCATTTACATAATAGGGCTCTGCAGAGCCAGCTCCCTAAAGGGGAAGCTGCTGGAGGCCAATGCCACTGACTCCAACTCTCTGCTCCATCTCTCCCTTCTGCTGCCCACCCTAGGGATAGGGGGCAGGGGCAGGGCCAGGGGGACAGCCAAGAGGGTGCCTTTGTGGCAAGGCCTGCTTCTTGTGGCGGACTCCAACTCTCTGCTCCTCTCTCCCTTCTGCTGCCCACCCTAGGGGTAGGGGGCAGGGCCAGGGGGACAGCAAAGAGGGTGCCTTTGTGGCAAGGCCTGCTTCTTGTGGCTCCTTTGGCCCCTCGTACGGACACGCCCAGAGCAGAAGCTGCAGTGGGAGGTAGGGGTCTGTTAGAGCCACTGACCCACCCCAGCTAGAGACCCGGGTCCTGTACTCACAGGGCTGTTTTTCATTCGAGCCACCAGGTCCCGGGCCTGGGCTGGCATATCCCTAGGCAGGAGAAGAGAGGGATGGTTAGAGTGGGCCCAGGAGCAATGGCTCAAGCTGCAGGAGTTTGGCCTGGCAAGGATGTGTTTCCAAAAGACTCGCATTATGTTAAGTTTATTCCTTCAGAATGTATTGAAAGGCTTGATTCTCAGGAAATCTCCGCTGAGTAATAATCAAAGGTCTGCCATGACCTCGGAGCCACATGGACCCAGACCCTGCCGGAGGCTCGTCTGATCCCACCACCTCTTCCTGCCGGCCCGTCCTCCCGGCCACGTGAGGTGGCATCTGCTCAGCCTCCCCAGCAGGGAAGCGCCCTTACAGTTCATCCAGTGCTGTCATTGCAAGCTGAGCCTCTTCACTTCTTAATCGGCTGCCCGTTTTAAAAATAACCTTTTGTGTATTTTTAAAAAAGTCACAGCCCTAAATTATCCCTCAGCTTTCCCCTTCCAGGCTACCCGACTCCGTTAGCCTTCACTTCTAAGCCCCACTCTCTGCCCTTTAATCCTTTTGTTTTTCTTCTCTTTCCACACCATTCTCCATCTCCCCACGTTTCCCCTCCCAGCAAGACAGGCTGGGGAGACAAAAACGGACAGGGTTCGTTCTCCCTTCACCTCCCCGGCGTCCGCCAGGAATAAGGCAATGAATACTCCGGATAAGAGACCTGCGTGTCAATGGAACGCTACTCAGCAATAAAGACGAACAGACTACCGATACAAACAACAACATGGATGCATCTCAAAATAATTTTGCTGGCTGAAAGGTTAGACAAGAAGGCATACATAGTCTATGATCTCATTTACATACAATTCTAGAAAAACTAAGACTCATCTATAGGGACAGAAAGCAGGTCAGTGGTTGCCTGGAGTGCGGTAGGGGACAGGAAGGGGCAAGAGGGAGAGATTACAAAGGGGCCCAGGGAAACGTTTGGGGGCGATGGACGTGTTTATCATCTTGATGGCAGTGATGGTTTCACAGGCATATGCTGGTACAAAACATTAAATTGCAGACTTTTAATGACAGTGTATTATATGTCAGTTAAACCTTTTTTTTTAAAGTATGTATATGAGAAATTATGTCAGCAAAGAGATACAGCCAATAGAGGCCTCCTTGGAGGAAGTCCTAGAAACAGTTGCTGGTACAGGATGGCCATTTAAAATCTCTGCATGCCCACAATGAGCTGGGCACGTGGCCAAGCAAACATGACACCTTCCCTGCCCTTGTGTCTCATTTACACACCCAGGGCCGCACCCATACAGTCCTGCTATTGGTGGGCACATCAGAAAGCTATAAAGAAAGCCTGACCCGGTTAAAGGTGACCACAGAAGTACTCATAACCTTTTAATAGGTTCAAGATGTGACGAGGGGAATTCATGGGCGATAAGTTCACATGAGCACTAGGGGAAGTCAGGAACGCCCACTTCCTCCTCTCTCCCCAGCCATGTTCTTCAGGCTCAGAGCACGTCCCACCTTCCCTGTGAGCCTTCTCTCCACTGAGCTCATTCGTCCACACCTCCTCCATTTCCTTTCCCATCTCGGTGCAAAGAGCCCCGCTCTTGGAGTTACGGGACCCGGGTTCTCCTTTCAGCTCTGCTACGAACTTGTTGCGTGAGCTCACTCAAGCTACCCAACCCTGCCAGGGCTGAATTTTCCTCACCTTTTACACGAAGGGGTTGGATGTATGATTTCTGGGGTCCCATCTGCATCTGTATTGAGACTGCCTGGTCCTCACTGCCTGGCCCTACACTTTTCTATTCTCTTGGTTGCACTCCAAAGTACAAAACCATTTCAGTCTGCAATGTTGCCGTACGCAACATTTCCCCCCAAAAGTTATTTGTTTGTTTCACTGGACAGTAAGCCCTTTGTAGGGAGGGAGTTCACCTTTTGACTTTTCTGTATCTTTTGGTAACCGCCTTGGAGCAGCAGTAAAATAGAAAAGGCAGTGAGAGAAGTGAAGCGAGAAAGGGACTAAAATGTCAACAGACTGAAGAATCACCTCCTGGTTAATGAAGCCTGGGCTGTAAATTATAATGAAACGACAATGATGATGATGATGATGATGGTAATAATAATAATAGTTATAACAGCAGTTAGATGTTGACATCAGGACCCCACGAAGCCCAGTTTTGTTTTGTTGTTTTTTCCCCAGAAAAATTAGTTCCTCTTGCTTATGACGTTGAGGAACTGACATGGCTTCCTGTGTCTCAGGGCCGCACGGAGCGTGGGGCCCTCCTCACTAGACTGAAAGGAAGGCTCCTGTAAACACCGTGAGTCAGGGCAGCGTCGTTTCCTTGGTGATCCGAGCGCAGCAATCCCGCTAAAAGCAAACACCCAGCACGTTCGGTGCAGAAAATCAATGAACTCTGCCAGGCATTTCAGCTTTAATTATCTGGATTATTGTCAACAACAGAAACCTGAGTGAAAACAAACAACTACCATGCTGTTCCCGGGCCTCACACCTCACTCCCTAATGTCAAAATAACAGCCTCTTCAGATTCCACACTGGAGGATCTGAGGTGCGGGGGAGGGAGGGAGGCGGGCTGTCCATGGGGTCACACACTGAGTCCCTGAGAAGTTCGCTGAACCTCTGCCCCGCAGGGAGCTAAAGGCCCCGAGCCAGCCAGGTCTGATCCTGGGTCCTCTGATAACTTTCGCTGATAAGCTTGGACCATTTGGGAAACTTTCTAAGCCTCAGTGTCCTCATGCTAGTGCCCATCTTGAAGGGTGTGAGATCACAGGAGACCACCCACGTGAGGGCCAGCTCAGGGCCAGGCACACAGAAGTGCTCCGAGCCTGGCAGCGATTACTGCTCACCTGGGGCCAGGCTCCCAGGTCCCGGCCTCCTCTCTCCCCCCTGTACCCACGTCCACTCACCGAGCGCTGGCGCCTTCCACAGCCACATTCAGTCCTGCCGTCTCCTCCTGGGTGCCGGTGGAGAATCCGAGGATTTGAGGATTGAACTTCTTGAGAATGTCTTTTAAGAGGGAGAAAGCAGACAGCACAGGTGAGTGGGAGGTGGATGTGCAGCGTTGGGGCACAGGTGGGGGGCAGGGCGGTTTGGGGTCTTCCCGGGGCTGGTGGACTTCCCTCCTTGCAGATGACTCCCCTGCTGCTGCTCAGGGGAGGCCCTGGCCCCAGCGAGGGGTTGTTGTGGCCACCGTGATGGTGCTTCTGCGTGTTGCTACTTACTGGGCAGCGTGGTGTGCGTCTCCAAGACCCCATCCCCTCCAGCGCTGGGGAGAGAAACACATCTGTTCAAACAACCCGACCTGCTGCTCCACATGTCGTCATATTTCTGAGTCAGAACCAGAGAGTCTGCCCCCGGTATGGGATTCCCGTCCCCCTGAGGACCAACGTGAGCACCAGGGCCTTTGCATCTCGGCGCCGGGCCATGGAGCCTGGCCTCGTCTCCGCAGGGCTGACAGGGAAACACCACCCATGGCCTCTGGGGGAGTGTCACCCAGAGAAATGAAGTGGAGAACATCCTCACCTCCAGGACAGTCCCCGCCAGGACACGAGCTGGTCACTGGAGTTGCCAGGGCGGGCTCCCACCGCTGTCTGCAAAAGGCAAAGAGAAAGCAGGCTGCAGCCCTGGGGGGGAGGAGGGGGGCGGGGAGGGTGGTGGTGGTGGGGACTGTGCCCTCGTGTAGCAGCCGGGGCCTGGATTGACCTTTTCTGAAAATGTACCAACTCCTCTCCAGGCCACTTAACCTCTGAGTTGTCCTGACTCCTCAATCCTCTACATACAACCAGCAACCAAGTCCTAGAAGAACCAAGATCCTTCCTCCCCACACTCTCTAGCTCCCACCTCTTTCTTGCTGTTCCCTTTGCCATATTCTGAGGTGAGATGGTCATCTTCTCGCTGTGGACAACACTCTAACCTCCGACCTGACCCCACGCTCTCCAGTGCCTGCTCCCTTCTCACCAGCTGTCCGGCTGCTCTTCTGAGCTCACCTTGTCTTCACACTTCCCCTTGACCCTGAGATTTCAGTGGGTCTCCCTTACCCACAGGGTCAGAGCCAAACCCCTTTACCAGCTTCCTGAGTTCACCATAACCTGGTTTCCACTTTCCTTCCTTCACGCACCTGCTCCTTTCCTGTCCACACAAATCTCCAGGTCTAAGCAAACTGATCTGAAACAGGAGGGCCTTGGACTGGTGTTGAATTCATTCTCTAAGACCTTTGCCAGTTTTTGTCTCCTTTATAAAACTTTCTCAAAATGCCCTATCTCAAAAAAGAGAGAGGAATTCCTCTTCGAAACTTATAAAAATAATGCGTAGTCACCATAACTAGTGAAATGATGCAAAGGTTTTTTAAAAATTAATAATCTACCCCACCTTATAATCTTGCCCCATCCCCTCCTCACCCTTGACCCACATACACACGCCACCAAAGCTAATCATACCAAAGTTAAAACACATTCACACACCTGGGGGAAGTTGTTTGTTTTTACAGAAATAAATATCTGTTTTTTTAAAAAAAGGCCTGTATGTCATCTATATGATTATGTAGCTTCTTCTGTGTACATTCCTTGCTTTCCCAGTTGAATAGATTTCATGAGGGCTACGGCTATGTCTCATTCTTCTTTCCTCTCAGAATTGCTAGCAGAGTGCACACAGCAGTAGCTAAATAGTTGGCTAATAGGATTCACTTAGTGAAACTGTCCTATGTGCAGGAATTGGGCTCCCTCTGCCCCAAAGAACGCATCTTCAAACGGGGTGAGTGGGTGCTGGGAAGGGGTGGGTAAGACCACCACTCTGTGAGTCAGGTAGATGGAGGTGAGTTTTCTGATACAGGCAGGCAGGTTTGGCTGAGTACCTTAGCAGAGACAAAATGCTTGGGGACAATGGGGAAAGGGGTATGTGTAGGTATATGGCTTCTCCCTGGGGAGGCGGTGTTTGAGCGAGACTGCGGAAGGGCAGAGGGCAGAGCATTACAGATTGCCTGGTGATGTCTTGTGGCTGCCTGGCTGTGTTTTGGTGCCTGACACAGGTAGGTTCTCACTAGTGCCAGCTAAATGCAGAGCCGGTGCGGAGGAAGAGCTGATTCCGCACAGGGCTTGGCGGGTGCCCGTGCCTGGCACAGCTCAGTACTCACAGTTAGCGAGTCACCCAGGGCGGCCACCACTTTGATGTCTCCTGGTCGGAGCTCATGGACTAGGATAGACAGGCAAAAAGATGGATGGTCAGGGGGGAGGTCTTTCTTTTAAAGCATCAACTTGACTAGAAGTCTGAGATTCTGCTGTAGTCCCACAGGTCCCCACTACACTACTTCCAGCCTAGGGCCTTAGCAACTTTGCCTCTTACATCCATTAGAGCAACCAAAGCACTGAAGGTAACGACCTTGATGGCCTTGTCCATCCTGAGAGGAGCCGGATTCCCACTGGAGCGGTCCAGGAAAGTCCTAGCTGTGGGGGTCATGAGTGTAGGCAGAGAGGACCCAAATCCCTGAATGGCCCTACCTCACAGGGCAGGGAGGCCCGAGGGCCTGCCATTGGGACTAAGTGGACCTGAGAAGTGTGATTTGTGGAGAGGCCTGGGAGCCCAGCAGGGGTTGCAGGCCAGCTATTCTCGGGTTACACCAGATCTAGGACCGCATTGCGTGGGAATCGGCGAGGCCTGCTCAAGGCTCCAGGATGTGCTTGCAGGGTCTCCCACCACCTGGACACTTAGCAAGGCCCTTGAGTGAAGTGGGAAATGACGTTTCACTCACCCGAGGTGGGAACACTGTTGGACGGAGTCCACTGCATACACAGGAAGTCACTACCCCAGTTCTAAATCAACAGGAGGAAAGACACAACGCCCAACACTCATTGTGCAGGGAAGTTAGCTTCAGCCGAGAACTAGCTAAGGAACGTTTGGTGGCGGCTAGAACTATGTCACTGTAGGGGGTCATGTGAGGGAAGGACCTGTTAGCTGTAAATGGTCTGCGACAGAAATGAGAGAGGAGAGAATGGGTGCCTGCCCATCCCTATGCACAAAACACATAATGGTGGGAACACACAAGTCTTTCCCATCTCCACTCTCTCCACTCTTAAGTGGAGCCAGCAGTCCGACCGAAGCAGGGGAGAAACAGTGCAGTCATTCACACTACAGGGGGTTTCCCAGAGAACACATTTCTGGACGCCTAATAAGAGATTCCAGCTGGGTTTTGGTATTGTTATTTAACATTAAGCTAATGGACACTAATTAGGATGCCAGAGCCGAAACAATAATTAGTTAGAATATATTTAAAAAAAGAACATGACATTTTTACAATTGCAGAGTCCCTGGTTTCTGCATATATTTTTCTTGCAAATGTGTGTATGTTTTTGGATATTTAACTTAATAGCCAACCATTTCCTTGTATGTGTAAAAATTAATGCCTATAACCTGGGTACTTTTAGTCAAATTCCTTCTTTCTTCGTCTCTAAAATACAGAGCACCTTGCCCTGGCTGGGTGGCTCAGTTGTTAGAGCATTGTCCAGATATGCCAAAGTTGTGGGTTCAATCTCTGGTCAGGGCACATACCAGAAGCAACCAATGAATGCATCAATAAGTGGAACAACAAATCTCTCCCTCCCCCTTTCTCTCCCTCTTCCTTCCCCCGCCCCCTCTCAAATCAATAATAATAATAATAATAATAATAATACAGAGCACCTTTTCCAGGTGCTGGAGGAAGGGATGGGTGGGAAGCAGAGGGCATAGAAATGACCAGTATCAGCAAGCTGGGGGAGAAACAGAACCTCCTCCCCAGAGGTGCAAACACCTGCATATCTCCAAGATGGCCTGAGGGACAAGCCCAGTGCTGAGCGCATAGTAGGGCTCCACAAACAGGCACTGACTAGTTGGCTGATTTGGAAGCTCATTTCTTCTGTTTTAATCAGATGATGATGAAGACAAGCCTTCTTAAAAACATTCTTCTCACCAGGGAGCAAACTGAAGCTTCTTTTAAAAATTATTTGCTTAATTTGATATAACTCAATTTATTCCAAGGAACTTCTCAATTCATCACATGCACAGATTCCTTCTTCTGTGTGGATGTTCTACTCAAGTCAAGAATGTGTTTGTTGTGCCTATGACAAATATTGGGGGACATTTTAAAAAATGTTCTATTGCTGTGAGTACTTCAGAACTATCTCAGCCAGCTGCTGAGCCATTGACACAGTTGGGGTCTGTCACAGGGAGAACCACACACTGCAGTGTGCCCGGGTACCCTGGTGTCCTGTGAAATGCAGATGCTGATTCAGTAGGACTGGGGTGATGTCCAGGACTTCGCATTTCTAATGAGTTCCCAGGTACTATTGATGTTGCCTGTCTGTGGCTAAAATAGCAAGCTATTGAAAAAACCACACCTTCTAGGCCTGGGTTTCGAACTCTTCTAGCAGCAGAAGCAAAGACACATAAGACAGAGGACAGGCCTGGTGTGCTCCAGGATCCTCTAGGCCAGTGGTTGGCAAACTGCGGCTCGTGAGCCACATGCGGCTCTTTGGCCCCTTGAGTGTGGCTCTTCCACAAAATACCACGTGCGGGCCACGAACTTTCAATCGCACTGTATGTGCGCGCCCGCACGTGGTATTTTGTGGAAGAGCCACACTCAAGGGGCCAAAGAGCCTCATGTGGCTCGCGAGCCGCGGTTTGCTGACCACGGCTCTAGGCCATCTTTGGAGTAGTAATCCTTAAAGCCGTGGGCCCTGAGTCCTTGGGGTTCCTCAGAGCCAGTACGATTACCTGGAACCCAACCAGCCTCGGACCCACCTAGATATGCATCAGCTTCCTGTTGGGCCCGGCCCCTGGAATTGGGATTCTTTCTACTCGGCTTGGCTTTCATCTTTCAGGAAGTCAATGGTACATCATACCTATTGCCTCCCCGTCGTCCTTTGAAAAGCTGAGTTGCCTAATCAGAATGATGTTTGTACAAAGGTCAAAGAAAACTGATCCATGGGCACTTCCTCTTGTTGGCTGCTATTGTCAGGTAAGCACCGGAGAACATGTTAGGACAATCCTGGAACTCTGTGGTTCAGGCGATTTTTTTTTTTTTTTTTTACATTTCCATTTTCAGTATGTAAGAAGGGCACATTTCTGCTTAAGCTAACACTCTGAAACCTGCATCCCACCCGAGTCACTGGCAGGTGGAAATGGTTTGTCCCTGAGAGAGGCGGACATGCGTCAGGAGTTACCTCGATGGCTGGCTTGGTGGGGTATGTGTAGTTACTGTTCCGCAGGGTCCTCAGGAAAGGCTCATTCTAAGAGAGGAAAGAAACCACAAGGAGAGGTTATCTGACAACATCAGAGGTTGCTCAGGAAAGATATGAACTAATAATCCTGTCCTCTAGATTTATTTAACGTGAGTTTTCTGCACTCAAATAGGAAGAACTGTGTAAACATCATTTTGTTCATTCCCTAGAGGGGTTTTCATATCATCTTTGGCAAGGGACAAAGGAAAGGCCTAAAAAAGGGTCATGTATGTATGTTTTATTCAGGGTTCTAAGAACATCTCCCTAATCATCACACTGATCTGTTTTCTTTCCTTTACAATTTCTCTGGCAAGAGATTCATATTATAGCAATTTTTTCTTTTATAAAAAGAGTTATGATTATCAATTTGCTTTTAATGTCTTCTTCCCCCTTCATTTCAGAAGAAACATGCTCTCTTCCGTTCTGGCCCTGCCACTGCCTCTCTTGCATCCTGATCCCATTCACACCATCATGTTCCTGCCGGGCATCAGATCTGAGTTTGCAGACCTTGAAACCCCCATTTTACAGATGAGGAGCAACTGAGGCCCAGAGTGAGCAAGGGATCTGCTCCAGGCACAGAGCAAATAGTGAGTGAGAACAGGGCCTGACCTGACTGGGCAGGCCCCGCTGACCAGGACTGGCCTGGTTCCATTCCTCACACTGTCAGGCCCTGGGTGGTCAGACATGGAGGAAGAGGAAGACAGGGACTCAGCAGACACCTTGAAGGATCGAATCTACATGTGCCAAAGTCTCAGCCCCCCCCCCGCCCCATGGGCCCTGGCTCCCTGGGCACCACACACGTCTCTCCTTCCTCCTGAGTGTCAGCGTTCCTGCTGACACATGGGCTGGAGGAGTACTCAGGGCCAGGGGCAGGAAGTGCGCCCCGGACCACCTGCAACAGTGCGAGGAAAGAGGCCTCACGCAGGCGTGTCACCGTGGCTAACCAGGCTTGTCTCCGGCTAATGTTGTTTAGCATCCCCCGAACATTCACCATCACGAGGGCAACCTGGGAGCATTCTATACATAACTGGCCCATTTTCATTGAGCCCCCCTGTGTTCAGAGCACTGTGCCGAGTGCTAGGATGAGGGGAGGATAGAAGGAGGTGTCCAACCCAGCCGGACAGAGCACATGAGAAGCTGCCAGGCGGCGGTGTAACGTCAAAGAATCGTGGGCCATAGTGCAGTGAGTGGTGAGGAATGGTCATAAGATTTGGGGATGTATGGTTCTCAAAGACCAGACCAGTGGGGGGTGGGTCTCTCGTTAACATTCTCCCCCCGCTTCAAGGGAACCCTGCCTGGGCCTAGGGTCTGGGGCCTGGAGCTAGTCCCAGAGTGGTAAGCACAGAAGAACCAGAGGGCAGAGACACACCCTGCTCTCCTGGAGGTGCTGAAAGTCAAACTGGAGAGTGTGTCTGGTCATACGCTCCAAGGGTTGGGAGAGGAGCCAGAGAGGGACAACTGAGTTAAAGGGTCAAAGGTCAGGGAGACACTGGGATTCAGCAGGGAGTGAGGCCAGACCAGGAACAATAAGAACAGGTCCAGGGCAGCGGCAGACGGGTGGCCGGGCGCCCAGGGCTTGTTTTATTGACCAGAGGCTGCTGGTACGTGCATGAGTCAGAGTGGCTTACAGGCCTGGGGTTGAGCAGATGCCGAGGAAGAGAGAGGCCATCGTTTGATCTGATTGGCTCTCTTCGGCTCCATTGGGAACACCAGTGAGCAGAAGGTGAAGCCCTTTAAATTCCAGCACAAGGAAGTCTTTGCAAAGATGGTGTGGCCTGCCTGGGGGTGGGGGCAAAGCCAGGACAGCCACCTGACGTGAGTCAGCACCATGCGTCAGAGGCTTCGGGAAAAGGTCACGTTCGTCTTGGCTGTGTCACCAGGTTTAAAGTTCCACCGTGAAGGAGTGGTGCTTCTGGCTTTCTGTCTGTGCTGCTCAGACCAAACCAGCGTGTACAGACAGGTCTGGGCACCCCCCGGAGAGGGGCCATGCTCCAAGGAGGCATGCCTACTACATCAGGCAGGGCTTGCGAGGCTGCTCTGCCAAAAAACGGTTCAGGGAGAAGATCAGGGAAGGGTGGTAGGAGAAGGAGGACATAGCAGCCATGACCTCTGACATCCCATCCCATCCCAAATGGGCTGGTTCATGACCTACTAGGCTAGTTTCACAACCTGTTCATGAGTAGCCACTGCCCGGAGAGTACAGAAGTGTAAGTAGAGGCTGTGGTGATGCCTTGGGAGGGATGTGGTAGAAGAATGCATTTATCCAAACGAGAATCACATCAACAGGACTCCACGGCCCTCCTGCTGAGACCCTGTGGTTACAGAATTCTCTGTTGTTTTATGATGGGAAGGTAGGACCAGATGACCTTTAACATGCAAAGTGCTAAGGATCTGAACAGGGTGTGTGTGTTGGGGGGGGGTGTTGGGAGGATGGTGGTGGTGGGAATGGAAAGCAGAGGCAGGTGGGAGGGGCAGGGAAGACTCCTATCGGGTAGGGTTCCTGCCTGAGGTTCCGTGCCTGTAGAATGGTGGAAACCACGGCAATGACAGAAACAGGAAAGCCCTAGGGAGCACAGCGTTTGGGAAGACAGATGTTTAGTTCCTATGTTAACACTTCATATGCAAAAATTAGCTTTTGAATGAGAGCTTGTTGAGTTTGAGGTGATGGTGAAGTCAGGGCAGGATCAGGAGGTTTAGAAGTCCAAAGCACTCAGAAGGTAACAGTGTCCCCCATCTGTCATTCAAAATAGAAACACCATGAAACAGTACGCGTAATGGAATCCAGCAAACCTCCGCTTTTTCAAAAATAAAAGACTGGATGTGATATCGCTGGACATCATTTTGGTTTCTCTTTCTCTGCCTCTCTCTGTGCATCTCTCTGGTTTCCCTGCGTAGCTGATACCCTGACCATCCCTTTAGGCTGCCGTCGGAGTAACCTGACAGCATATGGAGCATCCAAGGGGAAACAGCTCTCAAGGGTTGGACACACAGAGGGGAGTTTGGGAAAGAAAGAAATGAAGACACAGACTGGGACGTCTCATGCAAAGAAAGTTAACAGGAAGCCCTGGAAATGGACAAATCTCGGAGTGAGGGGATGGGGAGAGAGAGATGAGAGAATAGGGCTGAGACACAGCTGGAGAACGTCCACACTTTCAAGGCTGGAAGAAGAGAAGAGGGACATTAAAAGAGACAAGCGCCTTGGCTGGATGGCTCAGTTGGTTAGTGTGTCATTCCCAAAAGCCAAGGTTGTGGGTTCGATCCCTGGTCAGGGCACATGTGAAAGTCAACCAATGAATACATAAATAAAGGTAACAAGTCAATATCCCCCCATCTCTCTCTAAAAAAATTCAATAAATAAAAATTTTAAGAGAGATAAGAAGGGGCAACAACTAGAAAACAGAACAATGGGTGCTTTCGCATCCAGGAAACTCATGGAGGAGAGAGTTAACTGTCAAATGCTTAGAGAGAGCAAGATGAGTAAGAGCTTAGAAAGGACTGGGATGGTCTTCAGCTGCTTTCTCCCAAGCCTGAGGAGCCACCACCAGCTTCCTGAGTTAGGGAAGGAGTGGGAAGAGAGGCGATGCAGGCAGGAAGGGTCCCATAGTCACAGTCCACACAGTGGCTTTTGAAAAGCTGACTGTGAAATCATTTGTCCAACCCGAAAGTCCATTAGAAATCCATGGAGTGTTAAGGGCCCGACCTGGCCGGGCAGAATGCACTTGCAGTTGCCTGGGGCAGGGGAGGAGCAGGGAGGAGTCTGAGAAAGCTCCCCATTGCTCGCATCCCTCCCGGCTGGGTCCTGCCTGTCGCCTCTATGTTTAGACACAGCTAGGACTAAAATACGTGCTGCCTGGCCCGTCAGCTCACACCGAGATGCTGGTGGACTTTATATAGCTCCCAGGCACACAGGAGGGAGCAGATGGGACCTGAGGAACACAGAATGCTACATTGCCTGGTGCGGTGAAATGGGGCTAGCTGACAGATGGAGCCTTTGGGAATGGGCCCTGGGGTTGCCTGGCAACCGCTTCTTCCAGGCTGGGCTTTTAGGGCTCCAGGAGGTTGGATTTGCTCTCCTCTGCTCACCCAGGCCCAGCCAGGCTCTGCCCAGGAGGAGGAGCAGAGCCCACCGTGGCTTGAGTGTTGGTGGAGCGGTACCCTGTCGGGGCTCCTTGCCTGGTCTGGGTGGGGCAGAGAGTGGCAGAGGTCCCCTTGAGGCCCAAGATGACCCAGTGCCGAGGCTCCAACCTGGTACTTGACAAATGTTTGTGGGGAGGAAGATCCAGGACAGACCCCTGGAATGGGTTGTTATTACTTTTACTATTTAATGGAAGGTTGAATGGGCAGAGTGAACATCCATGGCTAATGCTCAGTATGACCATATGGGTGGTAATAATATTGAAACATTGCTCTGAGTCCCCAAGTACCCCCACTACAGAGGTGGCCTGGCTCCTCCCCTAGGACCCCTGGGCCATGCTCAGGACTTAGCATTAAACCATTTACACCTGGCACAGCAGGGTCCTCTGGGCCTCCCAGCCTTTTGGCCAGCAGCTGGCCTCTGAGTGGAGGCATCCACGGTGAGTGGTTGTTACATCATTGGACTATCTCCTTTGCTCCAAGAACCAGACCCAGCAACCGAGCCCTCTGCTGCCACTGCCCTCACTTCCGCATTCCTTCTTCCCACCACTCTTGTCCTCCTGATGGCACAGAGGCTGAGCTTGGGCTGCAGACAGGGTGTGGGGGTCCCGGGAGGGCTGCCACCCTCTCGGGAGCCCTGGCAGACACATGGGGGAGCTGCAGGGCCATTCCCTGTCCTGCCTGGAGAGTGGGAGCTGGTGATACAGCCGACCCAGGAGGGAAACCCAGCGTCCCAGGTTGGGTCAGGCCCCTCTGCTTCTATTGCCGCTGAGGGCTCTCAGGCCTCGGCCTTATTTGGTTAAAAAGTCATGAGACAGGGCCTAGCAGGGAGAGCTGAAGGCAGTGGAAACATGAACTTGCCCCTACCCAAGCCCCCAGGTCAAGTTGAACAACCACATACATTTCCTCCTTAAAAGGAGCCGAGTCCTCACCCGAGCCCTCACAAAGGCCACTTCGACTTGCCCTGCTCCACACAGCTCCCGGGCTGTCCTCTTGACCCCCTTTCTGCTGGGAACCCCCAATTCAGGCTCTACAACCACTAACCACAACTTCTGACCTGCTGGCTTCTGGCTTGGCCTCCACCTGCAGTCTGACTTTCCTCTCTGCCCCACGTGCCGCTGCTACAACGAACCTTGTCATCCTTCTGGCTTCCTGACTCCCCTGCTCAAGAATCCACCTTCCCCACCCTCATCCTCAACCCAAAGAAATACGTGCTTCTCCCCTTTCCATTCTCATCCGCTTCCTTCCGTCCTCCAAAGTCCATCTGCTTCCAGTTGATGGGCAGATGGGCAGGGAGGAAGCTGGGGAGGAGCATGAAGGGGGGAGGGCGAGGTCAGCGCTCTGGGCTGCTGGAGAGGAATGCGGCAGGTCCCCCCTCATTACCTGCGTGGGGCAGGAGAGGGGTATATCTGCTGTCAGGTCCAGGGTATCTGTTTTCCTTCCTAGTGGTTCGAGCTGTTTGGGGAAGGAGAGAGAGACACAGGTGTACTCATTTGTTTACACGGAAACGAACATCTCCCTGCGTGGGAAAGCTTTGGCTTCCACTCCTGGCTCTGCCACTTGCCAGCAGTGTGATATTGGGCAGGTCTCTGAGCTTCTCTAGGATTCAGCTTCCGCATACATTCATGAGAAGCCTTAATGAGGCAACATGGCATAAACTGCCCAGCCTAGTGCCCGGCACATAGAAGATGTGGAATATCCGTGAGGGTTCTGCTTTGCAATCATGTAAGAGCCCCTCATCCGCACAGAGGAGAGGGTGTGGCTACTCCTGGGGTCTTCAGAACTCTGTATTTTCAAGTCCATAGACATGTACAGCTGTGCCAGCCACTGCTCCTCTATACCTTGCTGGCCAAGAGAGGCCAAGAACTAGCTCCAATCTAGGGGGGCTGGTGCTTTGCTCTAGACTAGAACCCCAGAGAAACGGGGACACCTCACTTTACCATATTGGCCCAAAGGGCTCTGGAGAGCTGGGAGTGGAATTTCTGACTTGGGTGGATGCAGTCGGGGGCGAAGAAAGACATATCCAAGCGCCCATCCTGGAGGAGAGAAATAGACTTCCTCAAGATCCTGCTGGCCCAGAGGGTGGAGAGGGAGCCACAGCTGACTGGTCTGACCCCTGATTGACCCCTCAACACCCTTCTCACCTGGGGGTGCTCCGAGCCACTGGGCAGGGCCTGATCACCTCAAGAGGGAGATCAGAGCAATCCCACAGATCAATAGCCTTGGGTGACCCCAAACCCCATTGTCCTTCTGGCCCCACAATTTCCCTTATTTAACCAAAAAAAAGTATCATATTTGTTTTTAGGCAAATTGCTGTGATGCCCTAGCCCAGTGGTCGGCAAACTCATTAGTCAACAGAGCCAAATATCAACAGTACAACGATCGAAATTTCTTTTGAGAGCCAAATTTTTTAAACTTAAACTATATAGGTAGGTACATTGTTATTAACTTAATTAGGGTCCTCCTAAGGCTTAGGAAGAGCCACACTCAAGGGACCAAAGAGCTGCATGTGGCTTGCGAGCCTCAGTTTGCCGACCACGGCCCTAGCCCATGCCATGCTTGGGGAAATGAGATCTAGTCCCTAAGGAAGTCTTGACCAGCCATCTGGGAAAAGCTACTTCCCAGCCATTGACCAGATGGTCCCGATGGACTTGGTGGGGAGAATGGGGCCCACCCTCAGGGCAGGCCTGGGCAAAGCCAATACCAGGGCAGTGTGCCAGCTTCCGCTTTCTTGAGGCACTCAAGGTTGCTCAAAGCTCCCTCCAATTAGGTGAAGCCCTTAGGTTGGATACCCAGGTGGACAGAAACAAGTCCCCACCTGGGTCCACTCACAGCTCTTCTGCTCAGAGTGGGAGTGTCAGGTGCAAAGCAAGCCAGGGGTGGAAACTGAATACCCAGAGCCCTCCTTTATGAGTTTAGTGCCATGTGTATGTGGCAGAAAGGGAGTATTCTGGAGCCGGACATGTTCAAAACTTGCCTCTGTGTCCTGTATTTCCTATATGATTTTAGGAAGGCTACTTCACATCTCTGAGCCTCGGCTATAGGGGGATAATAAAACTCACCTCAAAAGGTACTTGTGACAAGCACAGGGCCTGGCACATAGTAGATGCTCAATAAAACTGAGGCTGCTTTCCCACATCAGGCTGGTTCTGAGAATGCAGCTCAGCTGTTGCAGGAGGCCGCTCTCACCAGACCTGCACCTGGAGAGCTGCCTGTGTCTTTCCCACTTTATTCACTCTCGTGGAAGCACGTGGCATTTCTGCCTTGAATCTCCTCTTCCCTCCGGGAGCCCCATGGGGAAGGGCAGGGACGTACCTCCAGGATGGGGAGCCTGGTGTTGTGGAAGAAGGGCTGCAGCACCACAGAGAAGTCCTCCCGTGTGTCGTAGCGGCCTGACTCCACCAGCTCAAGCATGCTGCTCTGGGGACACACCCATGGGTGCCTTCAGCACAGGCCCTAGGTGGCCCAAGAGCCCACGGGGGCAAGGGTGGGCAGAGCTCCACCTCCCTGGGAAATGGGGGTGGTGGTGCTGCCTCAGCCCTTCCCTTGAGCTGAGCAGGCAAACACATTTGATTGCAAAGCTCTTTCCAGAGAATTGGAAACAGGTTGGGCCACCTTTTTGTTTTGCTTCTAAGTGAACTGCAAGCTCTGAAGGGCCAGGCAGAAAGTCCCACAAGGAATAGAAGCCTAGGAAGAGTCTCCAAAGAGCCCCCAGGCTGGGGACCTGCAGCCGCTCCACCTGTTGAGGAGGTGAGGGGGCAGCTGGGCCCCCAGGTGCAGGGGAGTGGGAGGGGGTCCCATGGGGCATCCAAGGCTTTTGTCCTCCTCAGGCCAAGCGTTGGGCCATGGGGCTTTGTCACCTAGACTCCTTTGGACCGACTCGAACCAGGTGCCTGAGACGCCTCAGCCAGGTGGGGCGGAGGAAGGGGCCTCGATGGTGAAGTCCCCCCTCAAACCCTGAACAGCTCTTCTCTCCCCTGTGTGCCTCCCTCCCCTTGGGGGCTCTGGGCTGGTGTGTTCAGTGAGTGTGGGGACAACACACCAAATGGTGCCTTCTTGTCTCACCTGGTAGGCTCTGGTGATGGCTTCCAACCTGGCCAGCTCCGGGGAGTTCTCCCGAGGGGTCAGCACGCAGTTACACAAAACGCTGTACAGAGAGGGGGGCAGGAGGGCCCGGAGCCGGGGCTCTGGTCAGGGGCGGGTTCCGCTGCACCAGCAGCTCACTGAGCCGGGGCTTAGGAGCACCTGTGCCTGAGGCTCTGACGCACGTGCTGAGGGGCGGGTTTCAGGCCTGACCCAGAGACTGGATAAGGTCCCAAGGGTACATGGATGAGCACCCTCTTGTAAGAATAGAGCACAAGTAGTGCTCTGCAGGAGCTGGGCCGGAAGCAAATGGATTTAGGCAATGACAGTGCAAGGTTTAATTTTTATAAAAATATGCCTCCTTTGGTATTGGGCCTCCCATGCTCACCAACTTGGCCAGCTCCGGGGAGTTCTCCCGAGGGGTCAGCACGCAGTTACACAAAACGCTGTACAGAGAGGGGGGCAGGAGGGCCCGGAGCCGGGGCTCTGGTCAGGGGCGGGTTCCGCTGCACCAGCAGCTCACTGAGCCGGGGCTTAGGAGCACCTGTGCCTGAGGCTCTGACGCAGGTGCTGAGGGGCGGGTTTCAGGCCTGACCCAGGGACTGGATAAGGTCCCAAGGGTACATGGATGAGCACCTCTTGTAAGAATAGAGCACAAGTAGTGCTCTGCAGGCGCTGGGCCGGAAGCAAATGAGTTTAGGCAATGACAGTGCAAGGTTTAATTTTTATAACTAAAATATGCCTCCTTTGGTATTGGGCCTCCCATGCTCAGGCCCTCAGACACCTCCTTAGCTGGCACTAGTGCCCAGTGTGTCGTTTATTTTGTCATGAATTATTTCATGCCCATAAAATGCACTTCATGTTATCAGCCCAGATGGC